TCCGGCCTGGCCCAAAGATCAGTTCACCCAGCTAAATGCAAGATGGTCAACAAGTAGTTAAACAAATAAAGCATTAAATCTGTGCTTGTGGGCAGCTCCTTAGAACCCATTTCCATGCGCGACTCCATTTGCGTATTCACAAGTCGGTTCCTCTTCATCCCACTTTCATTGCTATCACTGTTCCTAACCAGCACCTCATTTATCCAACAGCTGCTTCCTCCCACTCATCATAAATCATAATTATGATGGCATCACCTTCAACAGTTGATACTGTCTGCAATTATTACGAATTGGTTTAGTGTTTCAAATTTGTTTTAACTGTCAGTTAGGTGCATTAGTCCAATTGAAGTCGTTAGGCCACCTCTCTCAACTGGCCTTGAGTAGAATCAGGACCCCCGCCATAAGAACGCAGTAGAATTAATCTATTGAAGTCAAGAAGATTTATTTATTGGTTACTTGAATGAAAGGCACGATGATAAAATGGGCAAAATCAACTTCCATTAAGCGAGAGCTTAATGGACTTTCAGACGTTCCATGGGCGTCCGTTATGGTCCAGAATGGCACCTCACCTAAACATATGTATTTACTGCCTTTGCCCGTCAGAAAGAAGTTAATAGATGAGCAAAAGAAAGGAAGGCAGTGAGAGAATCTTGTGAGTCTGCACAATTGTGGAATATGTACAAAATTAAAGCTCATTTTATATGACATTTGGTGAGAGATACATCAAATCCAGTCATGAGGGACAAATTCATCACCCGAACCAAGATAACCACTTGAAGTGGTCGACTTTTGAGAGTCGTTGCGCCCTACAGACACGCCGATGGATGATGAAGTTTGAACGGGACCGAGTTTGTCAAGGTCACTGAAGGGGATTATTGGGGTACCAGCCTCAGCAGGGGTAGGGGCGAGGTGTGGCTTTGATCCCGTAACAGTTAACTCATCGTCCTCTCCGCTGCTGAGGTGGCCTGGAATTTCCACGAAACTGATACCACTATCTGTTGCAGTGACGAGCTCTGAACCCCTGAAGCAACCACTCATCACTTGTACAATAGCCGAGGCAACCACCGAGTCTGTCAGATCACTGGCAATCCTCATCAAATCCACCTCGTAGGATCCTGCATTTAAATAGATCACATAAAACTTATGCACACGAACAGACATTCAGTTGGATGCACTCCGTTTGGCAGCATATTCTTCTTCCACCGTGCAAACACTAGCTGGACTTCAGGACGCCCAGGCCTACTGCGCTTCAATAGAGTTACCTCCTAGCTGTCACATCACAAGCATTGGTGGGACAACCTCATCTCCTTCTTAATAATGCAAAAGATAAGAGGGCTGCTATCAATTAGAAAATTTTATAAAAAGTAATGAAAAACCTTATTCACATTGATTGCAACTCCACTGGTCTACAAGGCGCCAGACCAACCAATTCACTTCACCTAACCAACTCCATTGCAAAGAAAGTGGGCAATTGGCATTGCCTTTAGGCCCAACCTCTCACTAAATCTGCTGTCATTAAGGAAGAGAATCATCAGCACGATGTGATAAAATGACAGTGAAAGGTAGGGGAGGAACAAAATCAGGCGGTAAGTCCGAAAGACGTTGTCAATTATGCGAATCAATTCACCAACATGCAAAAGGCTTTTGCAATGAAGGATTGTTAGACTCCGTTTACCTATGAGGATTGTCAATGGTGGTGATGAGAG